AGGATGTTTTCTCCCACTTCCTACTCTGAATTCATGATGCAAATTCATCCTCACTTCATACCTCAGCTGGCCACGTCTTGTTTCTCTTGTGTTCCTGGCCCAGCACATTGCTGAACCCATGGTTCTGGCCCTACTCCATGAATCTCTGTGGAAGGATCATGGTTGGCAGGTCATGGTTACTGGAGACTAGAAAGTAAAATGTTAAATATTGAGAAGCTTGTGCATGGAGTAGACATAGACCATTGTGAACAGAGTCCTAGCAGCTGGTGAGCCATGAAAGCTGGGCAGAGAGATCCCACATCACCCCAGCCAGAGGGGAAGTTGGAAATGAGACTTGGAGGGTCTTCATCCGTGACCATGCAGCCTCTGAACCATATGTGCTGCTTTCTTTCATGGAAATGACCAGAAGTGGACTTGTCTATGCTGAGCTCTGGTGAAAAAACTTCCCTCCATTCAGAGCCCAGACTCACTATCCATCTCCTGGGCATCTGCTGCTCTGTGATTCCACACACCCTACATCAGGTCACTCATCATCCTCAGCAACGGGCAGCTCTCTGCTCTCAGCCCAGGGGAACATGGAAGAGGGTCCTGAGCTTTATCACTCTCAGGGACTGTGGTAAGAAAGGAGCCTTCAGGTGTTGCACCTGGTGTTCCTTTTCAATGTTCACGTTCAATTTATTAATGTTTAAAACTATACCTTATACTAGCAATCAGAGTTCTCTTTATATATAAACATATATCACATATTTTTTCATAAACAGATACATAGTATAAAGAAATACAGAAGTATAACGTATCCCCCAAAATTGTCCTTCTGGAAAGTAAAATTTTAAAAAATCGCAAGGTATTTTTATGAAACAAGAGAGCTGGACCAAATCTGAGACTCAGATTCCTTTAAATTGTGAGCTTTAACTGTTAAAGTATGATCACTCCACTGTCTCTAATGTAGGTTTATTGATGTGTAGACAGTTTTAGAGGATTTTTAAGTTTGTGACCCAGTGTAAGCAAAACAGTATCAGAGACAGGTCTCAAACAATTTACAGGTTTATTTTGTCAAAGATAAAGCTTATGGCCTGTGACACAGCCTTAGGATGTCCTGCAAATATGTGCCCAAGGTGATAGGATTACACGTTGGGTTTAAACACTCTGGAGAGACAGAGATTAAGAAGAAAGACATAAATTAGTACATATAAGATATGTATTGGTTTGTCCTGGAAAGGTGGGATGTCTTGAAGCAGGGGCTTCCAGGTCATACATGGATTCAAAGGATTCCTGACTGGCCATTGGTTGAAAGAGTTAAGCTCTGCCTAAAGACCTGAATTCATCATAAAGAAATACTTGAGTTTAGATAAGGGAGCATGGAAGCCATGTTTCTTGTTATGTGGAAGAATCCTGTGGGTAACAGACAAAGTAGATGGTGAATGGTGCCTATCCGATGTTTAAAAAAAAAAAAAAATGTTAGACTCTCTGGAAAAGACTTAGTAAGGGGAGGAGATTCTCTCAAGAATGAAAATTTCCCTGACTACAGGCAACTTTGCAGGGCCACTTCAGAATATGATGAAGAAATACTTTTGGGGTAAAATATTTAGATTTTCTTCAGGGCCTGTTCTCTGTCATGTTGGAGTATGTTGGTATCTTATTGCTACAAAGCATCTGTTTTGTCAGTCTAAAGATCTCCTTTGTAAAGATAATGCTGGTCAGTTGTGTCTGAACTCCAAAGGGAGGAGAGTATAATGAGGCACATCTAAACTCACCTGCCAGTCATGGCCTAACCTAGTTTTTCTGTTTTCTTTGAAGCTATCTCTGCCACAAGAGGAGATCGTTCAGCTGGTTGGTGGCTTACAACTTATCTTTTTGTTTTAATAAACAGAGCAACAAAAAAGAAAATCACTGCATAAATTTAATCTAAACTAGATTGGTTAAAAAAAATTAAGTGCTTCCTGAATATTCCTACATGTCAAAGAGAGAGAAGTGATAAGAATAAAGATGGGAAATACTTCTCATAGAAAAGATAAACAATTTTTGTTACTATCTTAGTTCGTGTCCACCAGCAATGACGATTCCTATTTAGGCAGCAAATTTACACTGGGAGGAAGGAGGAAAGTGAGGAAGGGAATAGAAGATGAATGGTAAAAGACAAATCAACAACTCACCTGACTCAGGAGAAATGAAGATCACCCACATGTGGAAACATGGACTAAATTCCTCTGGGCTGTTCCACCGGAGAGATGAGGAAGCTGGGGTATGTATACACCTCATCCTGTCCTCACTGATTGTGAGCTGTCCCTCTTGTTTCATTTCAAGCTGCTATAACAGATTCCTTGTCACCGTGTAATTCATAAAGAACAGAAATGGATTTTCTCACACTTCTGAGGAATGGGAAATTTAAGATCAAGGCATGGGCAGGTTAAGGTCTGCTTTCTCTGTTTTCAAGATGATGCCTGGAGCATTGACTCCTTCAAAGAAAGAAAGGCCTTGTCTTAATGTTACAGACGAACAGAAGAGAGAAAAAGATTCCAGCCCAATAAGCTCTGTTTATTGTGTTATTAGTGTATTTCTCTAGAGGGTTCCACCCTCATGATCTAAACACATCCCAATAGACCCCACCTGGCAATACCATTACACTGAGATTTAGCTTTACAACGGGTGGTTACTGGAGGACATAGACAAACCATAGCACTTTTCTAAGAGATACACATGCGAGGCCATCTGGCCAGCAAGGCAGGCAGGCAGATCTCTCTGCCCAAGATCATAAAGAACCTAAGACATATATACGGCCACTAGAAGTGAGCACAGGTACAACAAAGGGGAAAGCCCTAGATTACAGATGGGGACTGCTACATTCATCATGGTACAGTTAACCCTAGAATAACTTGAGTTTTAAATTTGCAGATTCACGTATATTTTCTTCTGTGTGTGTCACCTGTGAGCAAGTACTTTATAAGTAGTAAATATATTTTCTGATTTTTATGGTTGTCTTAACACTTTTTTTCTTTAGCATACTTTATTGGAAAAATAGAGTATACAATAAGTATCACTAAAAAAGCAATTAATCAACTATTTTATCACTAAGGTTTCCAGTCAAAAGTAATCTATTAGTACTTAAGTTAGGGATGCAAAAGTTTACACAGGTTTTCATCTGCACCAGTGCTCAGTGCCCCAACCTC